AGCTGGTGGCCACAGGGGAAGGCTGGTGATGGCTGTGAAATTGTCCTCACAGTGCAGGGTGTGGTGAGGAGCCGGCTCCGGAGTTTCGGAGAGCAGAGGGCTCGGCAGCCAGGTGTATACAGAGAGGGTGTCTGGGGCTGTCCTTTGGGGCCTGGCCTGCAGGTGGGGGCAGGAGGAAGCTGAGCAGTTCCCACCCTGCCCAGGTAGACGTCTGCGCTCAGAATACCTGGAGGCCTGGCAGATGTTAATAAGCAGCGGTTGGGTGCCATCCGTGTGTGGCTAGCAGAGCTGCCACCTGACCTTCCCTGGATGGCAGCTTGACTGCATGACCCAGTTGGCGTAGTGCGGTGGCCTGTCTCTAGGACTGCTTCACAAATACAGGTAGTCCTTGATGTACGACAGTCATTCGGAGCAGATCTTCCATTGCTAAGCAGTGCAGTTTTCAAAGCACTTTGCGGCGTCCTCCTTTCGCCATCTCTCTGTCCCATGCCCCTTCTCCTGGGCGTATGGATGAACATCTGGGGCAGGGGGTTGGACTAGAAAACCTCCAAGGTCCCTTCCAGCCTGACATTCTATGATTCTGTGATTGTGGGCAGGGGGGACTGTAGCTTCTTCCAGTTTATTTATTTATTTATTGAATTTATATACCGCCCTATCTCCCTTGCGGGACTCAGGGCGGTGAACAAGCGATACTAAAAACCACGATAATAAATACATAGTTTGTTTTAAAATCGAATTAAATAACAGGCCTGTTCTAAAAACACACCCGTAAAAAACCCCCCACTAAAACATAATCAAACTACGCCAGGCCGGCCGCACGGAATAGATGGGCCTTCAGGGCTCGGCGAAAAAGGCGCAGGTCCGCAACTGTACGTAGGTCGGGGGGTAGGTCATTCCAGAGGGCAGGAGCTGCCACAGAGAAGGCTCTCCCCCTGGGGGGTCACCAGCCGGCATTGTCTGGCCGACGGCACTCTAAGGAGGCCCTCTCTGTGGGAGCGGACTGGTCGAAGGGAGGTGTTTGGTAGGAGGCGGTTGCAGTTGTGAAGACCTCCAAGGTCCCTTCCAGCCCTGAGATTCTATGACTTTGGCCAGCCTTCCGAGAGTCCCTTCCAGCCCTGTACTTCTATGATCTTGGGCAGGAGGTTGGACTAGAAGACCTCCAAGGTCCCTTCCAGACCTGGGGTTCCATGATTGTATAAGTCGCGCCCTGCTGGATCGGACCCCTGGCCCTTGTCTTCCCCGTGGCCAGCCAGCTGCACCAGGAAGCCTGCTAGACTCCCAGCCTTCGCAGGCGGGCGCGCCACTGCTGAGGCTAATCGCTTAATAACAGGGTTCCCACAAGTCAGTCCAGCCCTTTTTTGAAGCCAGCCAAGTTGGTAGCCGCATCGCATCTGGTAGCAGATTCCAAGTGGAATTTACACACCGAGTAAAAAAAAGTAGTTCCTTTTGTCGGTTCGGATTGTTCCAGGATGCAACTCAGTTGGGTCAGGGCAACATTAAGACTTGTGGACTTCAATCTCAGAGTTGGAGTTGGGGGTTGGCACAAGTCTTAAGGGTGCCAAGGGTGGAGACCCCCGAGTTGGGTGACCTCTGGTTCTAGCATTTGGGGAAAGGGGGCAGAGCTGTTCCGTGTCCACGTTATCCGTACCCGGCTTCTACTTTGCTTCCCTTGATTTTTCTGTGGCTTCTCGTCCTTCGGCAACTGTTCCTCGCAGTTCTTGGAGCTTGGCCAAACATTAGCAGATAGGCGGGTGTCTGTAATCTGCAAGCGGTGCAGGCAGTCCTCAACTTGCAACCACTCATTTAGCGACCGCTAATGAATTCAGAAGGAGGTTCGGTTGTTTGAAGAAACGGGCGAGTCTTCCTCCAGAATCAAATGATGGGGTGATAACAGCCAAACAGGACCAGGATCCCCTTCTTTGAACCAGGACTGACGTCCGAAGGCGGCTTCTCCGGCCATCAGTACAGGTGGTCCCTCACCTACGACCACAGCTGAGCTTAGAGTTTCTGTGGCTAAGTGAGACAGTTGTTAAGTGAATTTTGTCCCATTTTACAACCTTTCTTGCCACAGTTGTTAAGAGAATCACTGCAACTGTTCAGTTAGTCACACGGTTGTTAAGTGAATCCGGCTTCCCCATTGACTTTGTTTGTCAGGAAGTGGCAAAGGGGGGGTCACGTGACCCCGAGAGAGACGGCGACCGTCACGAGTCAGTTGCCAAGCTTCTGAATTTGGATCACGTGATCCCGGGGATGTGGCAGTGGTCCTAAGTGTGAAGAATGGTCATAAGTCACTTTTTTCAGTGCCGTTGTAACTTTGGATGGTCACTAAACAAACTGTTGTAAGTCTGTAAATGTGGACCAGGATAAAATACATATCCTTGTGTCTTCTTTAGAGGATGTCTGAGCTCATTTTTACTCTTGTAAGTCTGCAAAGATGTGGCCCCCAGTGCTGGAACTGCCTTCCACTAAGCTTTCTCCCTGCCGGCCTGTATCCTGGCTCCTCTCGTTTGTTCTAGCCAACTTGGCTGGTTCTTTCGTAGAGGAGGAGCTGAAACCCCCCAGTGCCAGGTGGCTTCTGAATGCGCCAACCGCTGACTAGACCCCAGGAGATGTTTCAGTGGAGGAGGAACGGGGGACCCTGCAGGATCTTCGCTTGGCAATCTGGGAACCACCTTCATCCGGGACTTGGTGGTGCCAAGAATTGGCCCTGCCCCTCAACTCCGGTCCTCTCCCCCAGGAGAACCGGATCTGGGACTTTCCTTTGGGGAGGATCGGAGGAGTTTTGCCGAGTCAGTGATTGTGTCCAACTTGTTCTGGCAGACTCCTGGCGCCCTGCAGCAGAGCAAGCACCAGCCTCGCACGAGGAGGAGGAGGAACCATCTTCCAGTTGGCTTCTCCCTCTCTCCCTCTGAGGCGCTGAACGTGGAGGAGAGCGGATCCTTAATGAGGGCATCAATCGTGCTTGGTGTTCTACCGCTGGAGACCTCCAGGAGGGTGCAATGCCGTGCAGTTCTGGGTGAAATTTTGGCACCCTGCTTGGGCTGACTTTCTCCTGGCCAGATCCTGGCCAGGATGTTTTCTGCCTCTTGCTTGGTCCACTCCTTGTCCTCTTCCGTCACCAAGACCCAGCCCAGGTCCTCTCTTCCACCAGGAAGGTGGCTGGTTGGTCCTTGTGGCTGGAGAAGGCTTGCCCTGAGTCTCTGAGGATAACACTTCTCTAATAGGATAAACAAGAATTAAAATGTGCAGGGGATTTTTTTTAAAGTTCTGCATTAATGTTGTGCTGTTCCTGTTGTTGTTATAACAACAGCAACATAGGATCTCCTGCTTGAGTAGGGGGTTGCACTAGAAGACCTCCAAGATCCCCTTAATTTTATTATTATTTTATTTTGGAATAAGGTTCCCACATTGGACAATTGGAGAAGCCACTTCAGAAAGTTAATTGCCAAATGAAGAGGGTTTGGGTGAAATTCTCCAGGGTGGAGTGTGAAATTCTTTGCGCTTCCATAGTTATAAATGTACACGTAAGTTTTGACACACATATGTGACCAGGCAGCTAAAGGATACATGTGCTCGGTCCCAGGGAAGATAGACACGTGGGGCTGATCTGGATCCCTGCCCTGGGAACCTGCTGGAGAAGTTCTCTCTCCCCTGGAGGGATCCCGAGCGATCCCTCGCCCGCTTTCTCCCTGCCCAAAACAGGCAGAGACGGTGCTTAATTGTCTACCTATGAAATGTGCTTTTTCCAAAAGGCACCTGGACTTTCTTGGGGTTTTTTCCCTTGAAAACGTTTCACTTCCCATCCGAGAAGCTTCTTCAGTTCTGAAGTGAAGCTGAAGAAAAAAAAAAAAGAATTGAAGAAGGGGGAAAAAAGGGGGGAAAAACAAGGAAGTCCATCTGCCTTTTGGAAAAAAAACACCTTTGGGACAACCACCCTGACCCTGAAGAGTTGAGCATCCCCACAGTCTTCTGTTTCTAGGGAACTGCAGGCGTCCTGGGAAGAGGGGAATTCTGGGAAAAGCTCCTTTTTTCCTTCTGAAAAGCGGGGGGGGGGGGGAGAGATTAGGAAGGGGAAGCCAAAGACGGTAGAGATGACCATCTGAAGCTCACAGGGCTGAGTTTTTGGAGAAATGAACTAACATCACACAGGTAAAGATTGCCTTGGACTTACGACCACATTTGAGACCAGAATTTCTGTTATTATGTGAAGCAGTTGTTAAGTTAGCCATGCCCAATTTTACGACCTTTTTGCCATGTTTGTTAAGCAATTCCCTGCAGTCATTAACTGCATCACACAGTCGTTAAGCGAATCCGGCAGCCCGCCAATGACTTTCCTTGTCGGAAGGTCGCAAATGGGGATCACGTGACTCCCTGGACTCTGCAACCATTGTAAATGCAGGCCAGTTGCCAGTCATCCCAATTTTGATCACGCGACCCTGGGGGTGTTCAACAGTTGTGAGTGCGAGGACTGATTGTAAGTCACTTTTTCAGTACTGTTGTCACTTTGAATGGTTGCGAAATGAATGGGTTGTAAGCCGAGGACTACCTGTATTCTCCAGAAAGTGTTCGTGTGAAGTTATAATGTGTCCCAAAGGTGCATTAGAAATCCCTGCATGCAGAAAGCTAGTGCGCCAGGACAGAAGGCTGCAGCTTCACTTTCTTGCGGTGCTGCTGTTCTACTTGCAACCCCACAGTCAGTCTGACTCCTGGTCCCTCCGCTCCTTCTCCTTTTTTGGGTCGTCCTCTTCGGTGGGTTGGATGACAGGGGCTAACCCGTCCTGCCTTCCTCCCATACAGGTGCGCCTCTTTTCTTCTAGCTTGTGCCCAGCCAGCCGATCAAAATAGAGTCCTTCAAGGTGAAAGTTGACTTTCTGAAGGTGCCCCTCGGCCTAAAGAAGCCGACTCTGAAGGAGGCCGCGGCTGCCTTGGTGGCTGTCCCGGGGCCGGCCAGATCCAAATCCAGCAGCGTGAATCGCTACAAGGCTCGGCGTTCAGACAACATGGACAACGAATCGCAATATTCAGGGTATTCCTACAAGTCGGGGCACTCGCGCAGCTCCAGGAAGCCCAGGTGAGCTGTCCAGCCGGTGGGCTGTGTTTGGGGCAGGGGGAGGAGGTGCCCCGGGGGTGGACTGGAAAGATCTGGAGAACCTTGGTGGAGGTTCAGCAAGGATATCGGTCGGAGGCCTTGCCTTGAGAAGTCGTGGGTGCTCCATCTCTGGAGGTTTTTAAGAAGAACCTGGACAGTCACTTGTCTGAAATGGTATCGGGTCTCCTGATCGAGAGGGGGGTGGTGGACTAGAAGACCTCCAAGGTCCTGCCCTGTGATTCTGTGAGATAAATAAGATACATTGGTAGGTAGGTAGGTAGATAGATATAGACAGAATGACTGATGATAGATAGAATATGTGATTAGAGATAGATAGATAGATAGATAGATAGATAGATAGATAGATAGATAGATAGATAGATAGATAGATAGATAGATAGATAGATAGATAGACAGACCGACCAGCTTTCCTCCCAGAGTTGTGGGTGCTGCATCTCTGGAGACGGGGGTCCCCAACCCCCTGTCCGTGGACCGGCACCGGGCCGCGGCATGCCAGAAACTGGTCTATGCAAACAAGCAAAGCCTCATCTGTGGGATGCAGGCAGTACATAAAACCGGGCCCCCTCTGGTCCGCAGAAAAACCTCTCTCCACGGAACCGGTCCCTGGTGCTCAAAAGGTTGGGGACTTCCGGCATAGGGGCTCCTGCTTGAGCAGGCAGTTGGATTAGACGACCTCTGAGGTCCCTTCCAACTCTGGTAGTCTTTTATTCTGTTCAGTAGTGTTTGCTGCAAGGGGTCCTTGGTGCTCTCTGAGCTTGGTGGTTTTCTTGCAGATTAGGAAACATCATCAGTACTAATCAATGTTGCCTAGTTTGGTCATGAAACGTCTGCAGGAAGACCACCAACTTCAGAGAGCACCAAAGAGCTCTCCTTTCAATCCAGAGCCACAAATATTCCCCTTTATGGCCCTTGTTTGCTAAGGCTAGAATGGAAACACCCGTCTGGTTCCAAATTTGAATGCCAGAGAACCGGAAGTCTTTGCTGCCACCTAGTGATGGTCTGGAATGCTGCGGTTTGGACTTGGTGGCCTCCTTCTCAGTCCGGCTTGGGAAGATCCCCCTTTCCACAGGGGGCACCCGGAGACCCTCCAAGACAGTGGTTCTCAACCTGTGGGTCGGGACCCCATTTGGGGTCGATCGACCATTTCACGGGGGTCGCCAAGCAAGGCTGTCCGCCATTTTTTTGTCCGCCATTTTTTTTGTCCGCCATTTTTTTCCCCTTTTCCAGCGGGTGCCTTACCTCCCTTGGGCTGGGCCAGCTGGTGGTCGGCCTGCTCCGTCTCTGCCGCTTGCAAGCTACGCCTCGGCCGGCGCAGGGGGCGGAACCACGCATGCGCGGCGCTCCCGGGCAGGGAAAGTCCTCGACCTATGACCGGTTGGGTAGTCCTCGACTTATGACTGGTTTAGTCCTCGACTTACGACTGGTTTAGTTCTCGACTTACGACTGGTTGGGGTCACGGCATTATAAAGGTTGAGAACCACTGCTCCAAGAGTCAGTTAACTCTGGAGGGCAAAAGGAAAGGAAGAAGCCTAAAATTTAAACTCAGCAAATTTCTCAGTCGTATCTCTCAGTCTCAGCAACGTGCTTCAGTTCCCAGAATTCCCCTGCCTGCCGCTCCATATTTGAAATCCACACATCTTAAAAGTCGCTGAGACTGAGAACAGAGATTTGTTTGAAGGGTGTGAATCCTTTGCGCTGTACCGAACAATGGATTGTCGCATTGGAGGCTTCGTTCTTGTCTGCAGTAATGATTCTAATCAAGTTGCAATATATTTGGGAGTCAGAAAGCTGAACTGAGGGCCTGCGATTTATGGCTGAATCTGGTGTGAAGCTCGACTGACTGACTGCCAGTTCCTCGGCTCTAAAGTTTGGAGACCCCCTGGGAGACCCCCTGGGTGTAGTGTGACGAGTAATCCCGGCTGTCCTGGATTCGAATTCTTTGGCCTATGACTCCATGCAAGGGGTACCCCAAGTTAACTGTGAAAAATGATCAAAGGTCACTTTCTTTGATCAGTCACTAAACAGACTGTTGTAAGTCGAGGACTGCCTGCCTGCAAGATCCTTAACTTCGCCTTTCTTCCACGAGCAGCAGCTGGAGGGGGGACCCCGCCTCCCCGTCCCCACGGAGCAGCCGGTTAGGGAGAAGGTGGGTGCTGCAGTGCTTGCCAACTGAGCAGCCCCCTTAACTCTCGGGACCCCCCCTCTCGCCCCGCAGAGACCGCCGAGAGCGGCACCGCTCCAAGAGTCGAGACGGGAGCCGAGGGGACAAGTCGGTCACCATCCAGGCCCCCGGAGAGCCCCTGCTGGACAACGAGTCGACGCGAGGCGAGGAAAGGGTGAGCGGGCAGACAGGCCAGGACCCCGCTTGGCCCTCCCTCTGGCCTCCGGGTCCGCTCCTGGGGGGCTCGGCTTTTCCCCCGGGGATGGAGTGAAAGGGTCCCTCGGTGGAGTTTGGGGGGCTTCCCTGTGCGGATGTCTTTCCGGCCTGGGCTTGAGGAGGCGGGAAGGGCAGGTGGCCTCACCTCTGGCACCTGTGTGGCGGGGTTGAATTCTGCTCCTGCTCCTCCTTTGCCTGCCTGCCTGCCTGCCCTCCCTCCATTTATCTTCCATCTCTCTTATCTCTAACATCTGTCATTTCTCTCTGTCTCCATCCCTGCAGCCATCTATCTCCCCCCTCCTCCTTTCCTCCCTCCCTCTCTCTCTCTCTCTCTTATCATCATCATCATCATCCAGCAGGGGGGAGAGCCTGAATGTGTGTGTGTGGGGGGGTTCCCGCAGTTCTGCTTCTGTCCTTTTGGGATCCTTGCATGGCACCTTCAACCCCGGGGTCCTTTCCAGACCCTTTGCGACTGGAGGGGACAGTTCCGCCCCCCCTTGACCCCCTCCCCCTGTGGCCTTTGTTTCCCGGCAGGATGACAACTGGGGCGAGACGACCACTGTGGTGACCGGCACGTCCGAGCACAGCATTTCGCACGATGACATCACGCGCATCACCAAGGACATGGAGGACAGCGCCCACCTGGACTGCTCCCGCCACCTGGGGGTCTCGCTGGCAGGGGCCCTGGCCCTCCTCTCCTTCCTGACCCCCATCGCCTTCATGCTGCTGCCCCAGCTGCTGTGGGGGGAGCAGCTGAGCCCCTGCGGGACCCCCTGCGAGGGCCTCTTCATCTCGGTGGCCTTCAAGCTGCTGATCCTGCTGCTGGGCAGCTGGGCGCTCTTCTTCCGCCGCCCCAAGGCCTTCCTCCCGCGGGTCTTCGTCTTCCGCGCCCTGCTGATGGTGCTGGTCTTCCTCCTGGTGGCCTCCTACTGGCTCTTCTACGGCGTCCGCATCCTGGACTCCCGCGACACCAACTACCAGGGCATCGTCCAGTACGCCGTCTCGCTGGTGGACGCCCTGCTCTTCGTCCACTACCTGGCCGTGGTGCTGCTGGAGCTGCGCCAGCTGCAGCCCCACTTCACCCTCAAGGTGGTGCGCTCCACCGACGGGGCCAGCCGCTTCTACAACGTGGGGCACCTCAGGTAAGTGGGCGGGAGGTGGCGCCTTGGTGCAATCGGGGATGGGCAGGGGCTGCGGTTGGATGCTGTTAAAGGTTGGGGTTCGTTCTCCAAGCTTGGGGGGGCTTCCTGAGGTGACCCCTTGAGTGGCCTTCAGGGGATGTCGATGTTCTTTGGGCTTCAGTGTTGAAGGTCTCGTCCCAGGGTGGAGGCTGCCTTCAGCAATCGACCAATTTTGTCAATGCCGGCGGTGCTCAAGAGGACCTCCGGGGGTTTTGGGATTGCACCCCAGGGGGCCTGTGGCCACCTTTGCCCGCTTCTGCCACAGTCGTTCGATTTCTACAGGTAGTCCTCAACTTACAACAGTTCATTTAGTGGCTGTTGTAACAAGTTCCGACGCCACCGAAAAAAGTGACTTTTTTTCACTTAGGACCGTCGCAGCATCCCCAGAGTCACGTGATCAAAATTCAGCCGCTCGACCACTGACTCACAGTTATGATGGGTCGCAGCGTCCCGGGGGGGGTGTCACGTGATCCCCTTTTGCGACCTTCTGGCAAGCGAAGTCAATGGGGAAGCCGGATTCACTAATTTACATTAACAGCTGTGTTACTAATTTAAGAATTGCACTGATTCGCTTAACAAAGGTGGCGAGAAAAGTCATAAAATGGGGCAAAACTCACTGAACAAATTTCTCACTTAGCAACATAAATTTTGGGCTCAATTGTGGTCGTAAGTTGAGGACTATCTGTATTTGCAGGTCTTTGTATTTTGTCACTTTTCTCCAGTTCTTTTTCTTCCCTGGTCTCCAGTATTACAAAGTCCACTATCCAGAATTTTTTTGTTATCGTTATTATTATTTACATTTGTGGAAGAAGCCGAGGTGGCCTCCCTCATGCCCAGCCTTCCGCCATAAAAAAGGGACACACTAAAGACCATCATGCTGAAAGCAAACAGGCCACATTCTGCCTTATTGTGCTGTGTAATTGGATCCCTCGGTGATCGCGCCGGTTACCTTGTTGTGTCCAACTAAAGCTGCATCTAACGTTTCCTTCTCCGCAGCATCCAGAGAGTCGCTGTGTGGATCCTGGAGAATTATTACCACGATTTCCCCGTCTACAACCCGGCCCTGCTCAACCTGCCCAAGTCCGTTCTCTCCAAGAAGATGTCTGGCTTCAAGGTCTACTCCCTTGGGGAGGGTAAGCGTTGGCAGCCCCTTCCCACGCTGTGGGGTTCAGTCCTCCACCCTCCGCCCAGAGGCCAGAATCTCCTTTCCTCCAGCTCTCCGGCTTAGCTTCCAGGATGCTTCAACCAGATCTCCTGGAGATCGAACTTGATCGCCGGGTTCTTCTCGGACCTGGGCGAGCGTGATCTGTGTCAAGATCACGTGAAGCGTTAGTACCACTTTATAATACCTTGATAAGGCCACACTTGGAGTACTGCATCCAGTTTTGATTGCCATGATATAAAACAGACATTGAGACTCTAGAAGGAGTGCAGAGAAGAGCAACAGAGATGATCGGGGGTCTAGAGGCTAAAATATACGAAGAACAACAGTTGTCTGGTCTAGTGAAAAGAAGGACCAGGGGTGACACGATAGCAGTCTTCCAGTATTTGAGGGGCTGCCACAAAGAAGAGGGGGGGGGGTTCAACCTATTTTCCAAAGCACCCGAAGGCAGGACAAGAAACAACAGATGGAAACTAATCAAGCAGACAAACAGCCTGGAATTAAGGAGAAGCTTCCTAACAGTGAGGACAATTAACCAGTGGAACAGCGGGCCCTCAGACGTTGTGGGTGCTCCATCACTGGAAGTTTTTAAGATTAGACAGCCATTTGTCTGAAATAGTATAAGGTTTCCTGCAGGGGGTTGGACTAGAAGACCTCCAAGGTCCCTTCCAACTCTGTTACACTGTTATTTTGCTGGCATCCCGAGCCTGGTGCCCTCCAGATGTCTTACAATGCGAATTCTGGAGTTCCCAGCTGCCGGCAGAGCAGTCCCAGCGTGTCTAGGGGGTGCCAGGCTGTGGGAAGGGTGTGCTGATGTCTGTGCCAGCCCAGCAAAGGCTCCTTCATTCTTACTTCTCTCTTGTGAACGGTAGATTAGATGGGCAGCTGATCACCCCAGCTGGACAGAAATGTTGATTGCTTTAAGCCAGTCGATCTCAGCCTTGGCTGCTTGAAGATGTGTGGACTTCAACTCCCAGAATTCCCCAGCCACCATGTCCTCTCCCCCCCCCCAGATCAAACGTGGACTGGCTGTTTGGGGGTTCACTTGGGAATTTATCCACACGCTGTGGGACTAAAGTCTCGACGTGTGACTGTTCAACAATACTTCGGAGATATAACAGCCATGGACAAAGCAACTTAGGACTCACCCTCCAAGCTATGACGGTTAACACCATCCCTGCAGTCGTGATCACAATTCGGGCACTTGGCAAACCAGCTCGCATTTATGTCTGTGATTTTTGATCTTCCCGGCTGGTTTCCTACAAGCTAAGTCAATGGGGGAGGCCAAATTCACTTCACAACTGTGGTAAAAATGGTTGTAAAATTGACTCTGGTCACATGGTTACTTGATTTATGACTGCATTGTTTAACAATCAAAATTCCGGTCTCAACTGTGATCATAAGTTGGGGAATTCTGGGAGTTGAAGTCGGAAAATCTCCAAGCTGCCAAGGTTGAAAAACGCTGACGTAGAGCATGAAACAGAGAATTTGGTGGCCCAGTTTTGGGGGGTTGTTTGTGTTTTTCAGCAAGGCACATTATTCTCCATCTAAGTGAAGAGACAGACTCTTCCTTTAGAATCATAGGGCTGGAAGGGACCTTAGAGGTCTTCTAGTCCAACCCCCTGCTGGAATGATGGTGCTTCTGATCCTCCACTTTGAGGACTTCAGGTTTTAGAGGCATCTCAATAACTCCGTTGAATCTTCCCTCTCTCCTCCGTCCAGAGAACACAACCAACAACTCAACCAGCCAATCGCGAGCTGTTATTGCTGCAGCTGCCCGGAGGCGGGACAACAGCCACAACGAGTACTACTACGAGGAAGCCGAACATGAGCGCCGGGTGCGCAAACGGCGAGCAAGGTGCGTCCCATCAAAAGGGCCTGTGTGTGTGTGTGTGTGTTTGTATGTGTGTGTGTGGGACTGGAAGAGTCTTTCCTAACTGAGAAAGGAAACAAGCTCAGATTCCCGCAGAGGGAAGATTCCTGACAGCTGAAATTGGACCCTTGTAGGTGTGTGAATTCTTGAGTTGGTTTGGGAGAAAAATCCTCGGATCAGCTCCACTTCCAAGGAATTGCCGAATTGGTTTTGGAGGTGTCCCATTTATTTAGTTATGAAATTTATTTGCTACCCATCTTATATCCAATGACCCCAAGTGTTAATTGGCTTCAGCGTTGGAATTTGATTTGGAAAACTGTGGGATCCTGAGTGCTCTTTGAGCCTTGGTTGTTTTCTTGCAGACGTTTCCTTACCCAGCTAGCTACTAGTTGCTGCTAGCACTGATGGAGTTACCTAGTTGGGTCGGGAAACGTCTGCAAGAAAACAACCAAGCTCAGAGAGCACCCAGGACTCCTCCTCCTCCTCCTGTTTCCACAAACCCCCCTCCCTTCTAATATTGATGATGTTCCCTAGTTGGATCATGAAACATCTGCAAGAAAACCAGCAGGCTTAGAGAGCAGCCAGGACCCCACAGTCGTTGTCTTCCTCCTGCTCCTGCTCCTCCTCCTCCTCCTCACACACACCCCCCCCAGTCCTTTCTAGCACTGATGATGTTACCTAACTGGGTAATGAAAAAACTGCAAAAAAACCACCAATCTCTGGGAGCAGCAAGGCCCTTACAGTTCAAAGCCAGGCTGAAAATATTCTCTTCTGTCAGTTTGGAAAACAGATTCAATCCTGACTGAAAGGGCTCCTGCCCCGACGAGCTTCATGCAGGCTGCCGTCCTCAGTAATAGGATTAACGTCGAGCTTAGGAGAGTTGTAATGTGCTTTCCACATCACAGTTGTAAGCACCTGGTAAGCAGATTAGAATGCAGAAAGACAAATTGTACTGTCAAAATGCTGGAAATCCTGGCGGGGTCCAAACTGGAGGGTGAAGTGAGTGCAGGTAATCTGTTAGAGAAGTTAGGGAGTAGATGGCCCTCCCCCAGGATCACCCCCCCCTCTTCCTTCCTCTTGCTTGGGAGCCCTTTTTAGGGTCCTTTACTTCTTCCCCTGTGCTGGCAAAACCTCAAATGAGAGTTTGTGAATGTGTGCGCCCTGGTGGGCAGCTTCGTCTGTGCTGAAGATGGAGCTCCGTCCTCTTCTCCATCCTGGTTGGCCCTGGAGGAGGGGGGGGGACGCTTTGGAGACCGTGGCTTGCTGTGACGAGGCCTCCGTCTCTGCAGGTTGGTGGTGGCTGTGGAAGAGGCCTTCACACACATCAAACGGCTCCAGGAGGAGGACCAGAAGAACCCGCGGGAGATCATGGACCCCCGGGAGGCCGCCCAGGCCATCTTCGCCTCCATGGCCCGGGCCATGCAGAAGTACCTGCGCACCACCAAGCAGCAGCCGTACCACACGATGGAGAGCATCCTTCAGCACCTGGAGTTCTGCATCACCCACGACATGACGCCCAAGGTAGCCGGGCGGGGAGGGGGTGGCGGTGGGAGGGAACCATGGCTGCAGGCAGGTGGTGGTTTCCATCGCAGGTCCTCTGGTTCAGTTGAATTATTCTGCAGAAAGAATGTCAGCCTTACCAGGTAGGCCAGCCAGGAAACTTGGCCAAGTAAGGCTACATTAACAGAATCTTGCAAGTCTGAAAGGACGAATCTCCCCGTGTCTCTTTTACAGCCTGAGAAACCGTTTCGTGATCCAGTTGATCTTGGGGATTGCTCTTTGGAGTTTTCTTCCAAAGGAGAAGAGAATTTTGACAGGATCTGGGTGCTCCTTGCTTCTTTAATGATAGGGTAGCTTGGATGGGTGGGTGGGTGTGAGTCGCCTCTGCCTCCCCACCTTCCAGCCGGTGCTGCCAGTGAGGCCCAGGCCTCACTGCGCAGGGTTCAGCACCATGGGGAAATGCAGTCACACCAGGCAGGGAGGATATTCGGGAAGAAGCTGCAGGGCAGATTTTCAAATCAACTCGGCTGCTGCTTGTGTCATCTGACAGTCCGAGGTAGATTGCTTTTGAACATGGAGGTTCAAATGCAATAGAGCAGGATAGTGAACAGTCCTGAATTGGGAACTGTTGTGGAGTCAGAATTATTGGCTTCTTAGTTTTGGTTTAAGATTTTTCCCCCTGCTGGTGCAGATAGTCCGTGACGTACGACCAGTCCTCTCACTTAAACAGTCGTGGCGTCCCCTCGCTCGCACAACAGCCATTTGGACCTTCCTGTGGTTCTTCCGACAAGCAACGTTAATGGGGGGAGCGGGGGAGAAGCTGAATTCGCTTAATGACTGTTGTGAGGGGATTGTAAAATTGGGCGCTGTCATATGATGAATCCCCTTAATGACCGCATCGCTTAGCAGTGGGAATTCCTGCCCCAATTGTGTTGTGAGTTGAGGACTGCCAGTGTTTCCTTCTGGCCGGTTTCTGAATTCTGCCACTCCAAACGGCGGCATGGACGCCCCGGGTCCTGGGCAGGAATGAAGATCTTAGGCAGGGGTAGTCAACCTTGGCTCTTTTATGACTCGTGGACTTCAACTCCCAGAATTCCTGAGCCAGCACAGCTGGCTCAGGAATTCTGGGAGTTGAAGTCCACGAGTCATAAAAGAGCCAAGGTTGACTACCCCTGATCTTAGGCTTGTCTTTTATCAGACAGCAGGGGGATTTCAGCTGAAGAAGGAGCGCAAAGATTTAACATATTTAAGAGTCAGCGTGGGATTTAACTTAAGGCCGGTGCTCAAGGGCACCAGGGGAGCCACAGCACCACCAGGGGGCGCCCAAGGACCTAATCAAAAAGAGGGTGAAATGGGTAATATTTAACTCAAGCCGATCCGATAACCAGATCTTAGCAAACCTTTAGGTTCATTTTAAATATTATTGTTGGTGTTAACTATTTCAGGTAGTCCTCAACTTACAACTGTTCATTTACTGACCATTCAAAGTTACAACGGCATTGAAAAAGTGACTTACGACCGTTTCTCACACTTACGACCCTTGCAGCCTCCCCAGGGTCAAGTGATCAAAATTCGGACGCTCGGCAACTGACTCATAGTTATGACGGTTGCAGCGTCTCCCGGGGTCACGTGATCCCCTTTTGCGACCTCCTGACAAGCAAAGTCAACGGGGAAGCTGGAGTCACTTAACGACCGGGTTACTAAATTAACAGCTGCAGGGATTCCCTTAAGAACCGGGGCAAGAAAGGTTGTAAAATGGGGCAAAATTCACTTAACTGTCTCACTTAGCAACAGAAACTTTGGGCTCAAATTGTCGTAAGTCGAGGACGTTTGCTGAGCTACAACTTTTGGGGATATGGGCCCTGGAAATAATAGACTTTGGTTTAGCGTTACCGCTCTGAATTGCAAATGTTTCTGGAAACCCCAGGTGGTCTTGTTTGATGCGCCTCTGCTCTCCTTGCCTCTTCGCAGGCCTTCCTGGAGCGCTACCTGACCGCAGGCCCCACCATCCAGTACCACAAGGACCGCTGGCTGGCCAAGCAGTGGACTCTGGTCAGCGAGGAGCCCGTGACCGACGGGCTGAAGGACGGGGTGGTCTTCGTCCTGAAACGCCAGGATTTCAGCCTCGTGGTCAGCACCAAAAAGATCCCCTTTTTTAAGCTCTCGGAGCAGTTTGTGGACCCCAAATCGCACAAGTTTGTCATGCGGCTGCAGTCGGAGACCTCAGTGTGACCCACGGCGCAGCTGAGGGGCTTGGAGGCCAGGGAAGGAGGCGCCCCGCCAGGACGGGGGGACAACGGCCTGGTGCCAGCCTGCGTCTCTCGGGTTTGAGAGGGTTCCTGGGCTCGGTGGGAGACCCTCCAGGGCGCCTCTGGATGCCAGAGCTTCCCCCTCCTTCTCCCCCGTTCTCTCCTTTGTGACCCCAACTGAGGGGAAGGGCAGGGGCCTTCCTCCCTCCCTCCCTCCCCACCTTTGTAGCAAAGCCCGCCCCAGGAACTGAGGAGGTGTGTGGGTGACAAGGACAGCATCACCCCTCCCTCCCTCCCTCCCTCCCTCCCTCCCTCCCTCCCTGAGGAATTGCTGGAAGTTACCTGTGCCAAATTCTAAGGGCTAACTCTGTTGGCGCTCTTCACCAGCATCTGCAAACATAGTTGGGCTAAGGAACTTTTGTGAATGTCGTTTTCTACAAAACTACACGCCGGCACGTGCACACCCAGGCCCAAGCCCACGTCAACACAACGTCGTCGCTCAAGGCTGTTGTCGTCTCCCTGGGTCTCTGAGGTCCAACTGCACAAGGTTTGGGGGATCCCCCAGGGAAGATCTGGTGGTCCAAGGGACGAGAGAGCCAGCCACTGCCCTGGAGCCATCGATTCAGCCTCTCGAGGTCTTGAGCTGGAAGTTCAACAGGTCAATCCCAAAACGTACTTAAAGGCTGGAAGGGGGAGGAGGGTGGGAGATTTTTAAGAGGAGGATGGCTTTTTTGTTAAAAGATCTCTGCTTTTTAGAGAAGTCCTGTGTGTTGTAAATACTTTTCCTCTGAGTCACTCACTCCGTCATTGGTCTGTGGTTTGAGCAAGCTTTGGTGTGAGGTGGGGGTGGGGGTGGCACATGAGGGGTGAGGTGAGCAAGGCCCCCCCTTTCCTGCATTTGAGACAGCAGGATGTTTTTTTGCACTTTTGCATGTGCAGAAACTCGATCCGGCTCTTCCTTTTGGGAAGATTCCTGTGGGAAGGTCTGCATTCTGACTTACCCATCCCTAAATTTCAGAGCCCCCCCCCCAGCACAAAGCGGCTTGAAGAGGGTTTTCCTGTCCCACCCACCAAATTACTGATCGGCCGAGGACCAATCACTCACCAGTAGAGGGATGACATCACTCTGAAGCCACTGCTCTCAACCTTAGCCACTTTTAAGATGGGTGGACTTCAACTCCCAGAATCCCCCAGCCAGCGACATGGCTGGCTGGGGAATTCTGGGAGTTGGTCCAGCCATCTTAAAAGTGGCTAAGGTTGAGGAACACTACTTTAAGGTGACTTTGAGGTCCTAAAAAGACACTTTTTTTGCTGTTCATTTTTCAGGATTTTTTTTTTTATGTCACCAGAATATCCCAGTTTTTTATGTTGGGGTTTCGTTGACAGCTGTTCCCTTTTAATCTAATGTGGGGGTTTTGTTGTTATTGTTTAAATGACTTTCCGAACGAAAATCTGGTAGGGGTTGCAAATAGGGTGCTCAGCTGGTGTTGGGGCTGCTGTCCCAGTTGGGGGTCTTGCATTGAAGGAGGGGGGGAGAGGCCTCCTGGTATATCACTGTGATTCGCCTTTTAAAAATAATTTTAATTCCTGGGAGAGGACCCAGCCACCGTAAGCGACCCACTGAAATTGCAGTGGTGGTTTTGCCTTGAACAAATGGTCTTAAAGCCTTTATTTAAATCATGGCCTTGGCTCTGGAGGGTGATGCCTTTTAAAAACAAATCACTGACATTGGAGCTTGCGTTGTATTTACATATTTATACGTTTTCCTCGTTCCTCCCGTAACATTCCCTGAAGTGAGCGACTGATGGAGACCAGCCTGAGCTCCTTCGAGGAGAGATTTCTGCTACAGATAGTCCTCGGCTTACTTCTGCTTAGTGACAGTTTGAAGTTACAGCGGCACTGAAAAAGTGGCTTATCTCCGGCTTGTACACAACCGTTGCAGCATCCCCACAGTCACATAATCAGAATGGGGCGCTTGGCAACTGGCATGTACTTACGTCGGTTACATTGTCCTGAGGTCACATGATTACCACCTGCCCAGCTGGCATCCGACAAGCAAAATCAATGGAGGAAGCCAGATTCGCTTAATGACCACATGATTTATTGAACAACTGCGGTGGCTTAACAGCTGTGGCAAAAATGTCGTAAAATGGGGCACAACCCACTTAACTGTCTTAGCGATGGAAATTCTGGGCTCCCCCAGCGATCCACTCTTGATTGGTTTAGAACTGTGCTGGCTGGGGAATTCTGGGAGTTGAAGTCCACAAGTCTTCCGAAGTCGCCAAGCTTGGACCTTCCCTCCCCCCCCCTGGTTTGGAGGAATTTTTGGGTGGCCGTTAGAGGATAAAGGTTGATAACAGGATAAAAGTTCCCCCAATCGGTTGCACTTGAGAAAATCCAAGCACAGGTAGTCCTTGACTTACAACCACAATTGGAAAAATTCGTCGTTAAGTGAGGCATCACGTGACCACGCCTGATTTTCATGTCATTTCTTGCCATGGCCGTTAATGGAATCGCCTTTGTTAAGGGAGGTGTCACGTGATGGGCAAAATTGCGACCTTCCCTGCTGGCTTCCCCATCAACTTCGCTTGTCAGAAGCCGGCTGGGACGGTCGCAACTGGGAATCACGCGACTTTGGGACTCTGCCACCCCTTGCACGTGCGAATTGGTTGCCAAGAAGAGGGATTGTGACCCCCACAGACACGTGGACCCTGCGGTGGTGCTAAGTGCAAGGGCTGTCAGGCGGTCATTCAGCAGCACCGTTGTAACTTGGAGTGGTCACTAATGAGTGGTCATAATTTGAGGACTATAGAAACTTTCTAATCTTCATGGGGGGGCCAGGGGATCTTGTATTTGTTGCCCACCCTTGACCCTCTTAAATTTGAAAGCACATCCAGACCTAGTCTCTGAGAAGTAACTTCTTTGCTGCCGTTCCACGTCATTTTCAGAGTTCAAGGGCCCATCCTCCCCTCTTAACGCTGGAAGCGTTAAGACAGAGACCCCCTTTCTCCTCCCTAGCTCAAACACACATACGCACACGCACACCGAATTTAGGAAACCCATTTTCTGACATTTTCCCCCAAAAAAATAAAAGCAGAGAAACCTTGTGCATGCATGTAGAAAATTGTAAAATGTAAATTTTTTTAATATATAAAATTTTGTTTTTACCGTTTGCAGTGGTACTAAGCATTACAATAATGTTAGTCGAGGGTTTTTTTCATAAATAATAGGAAGTAAAATTGTACATTTTTTTCTAAAAAAAAATTAAATAAACATCTTTTGGAGCTTTGGGTATTTCTGTTCTGCCTGGCCTGGTGATGTTTTCAGGGAGGGAGGGTCCGGGGTGCTTGTGGGGGCTGGTCCAGCTGGGGAATCGTCCCTGGTTTTTATTAGAATTGAGAGCGTCCCTGGCCACAGAGGAGAGGCCCACCAAATTTGGACAACCATTTGCCTGGGATGGCATAGGGTCTCCTGCCTGAGTAGGGGGTTGGACTAGAAGACCTCCAGGGTCCCTTCCAACTTTGTTGTTCTGTTAAATGGGTTTCTTTTGCCAAGAAGAGGGAGCCCTGGTAAGACCTCACTTTAGGAAGAGAATTGGGGCAAGGAGAAGTTCACCTCCTAAGTCATTGAGTCTGCTCTTGGTGGTCTTGGTCTCCTCCTCTTCCTCCTCCTCCTCCTCCTCCCACTTCAGGTGTTGGGGGACATACACAGTTCTGTTTCTTGCACATCTGCTCTTGGTGGAACTGGCGTTTTGAGTTCCCCTAGCAATGAGCTGTAGGACAGACACCAAGGACCTTGGATCCAGCTCTTCGTGGATTCTCCACCACCACCCCCTTTTTGGTGAAGTCTGGTGTGGCCCCTTTAGAGAAGACTTCTCCAGAAGCACCAGCTGCTCTTAAGAAACCGTAGTTGACCCTTCCTGCTTTCAGTCTAGTGTGGTGTTGAACAACCTTGACAATCCCCTCTCTGATAGGGCCTATTTAACTAGCTAGTGTAAAATAAATGTAAAGTTTTTTATATATATTTATATAGGAGGAGACCATACATGTAATTCAGAGGAAGCCCTAAAGAGCCAGGAGACCCACTCCTTCCAACCAGCGAGAAGAGCCTTTGGGGATGTTTGACTTAAGTCCCTCAGTGAAGAAAGGTCAGATACAGGCTGGCTGCTCTGTAACATCTGGAGATCTTCTGGAATGGTGGAAATGCTTTTGCTATTTGACAGGATGATAGTAGGATGGTTGAGCTAGTGGCAGTCACAGGAGAGTTAAAAATATTCAGAAAGGTCAAAAGTATGAAAGATTGGGTCAAACAGCCAAACATACTGTCATGGTTCTGACAGATGAAACTCTTCATAGAACTTTGAGACATTGTTTACCTTAAAGAATCTTTATTGGAGTAGCATAGCTTGGGCACTAACATAGTTGAAGCCAAAAACTGGATTCCCCTCCCCTTAGCACATAGTATCAAGCACAATTCCCTCCTCCAATTAACTGTCATAAATCACATTCCCCAATTAGTTTGAAATGCAGGCTCTCCCTCCTGTTCTCCAACCCGCCAATTCTTGTCATCTCTTATTTCAAGCTCTGAATTCACACACCAGTACAATATTGTTGCGTCTAACTAACTCCCACCACATTCCTCCTCCCTCAGCATCATCTAATTCTAAGAGTAAAGCATAAGAAAGAAAAAGGCTGCATCTCCATATGTTGTCAAAGCAAAAACATCCAATGTTAGCAGCCTTGACACATACATTTAACTTAAATCACCGGCAACATAGATTATATAAAAAGGCTTTCAACTGGTATTCACTTGGTGGTTCATTCATAAAAAAGTCTTGAAATTAAAAAAGCAAAGCACATAGGTCTTCAAGAAACCCATTAAAAAAGACACTGTTAATCTAGGATGCAAATGATTTGGTCAAAAACACAAGGCCTTGGGCAGGTAGGAACGTGTTTGGAATGGAACAGCCCTATCCATATCTCA